CCAAGTAAGAGTTGGGTGTGATGGTGTGCATGTGTAAGCAGAGACAGGTGGATCCCTGGAGTTCACTGATTAGCAAATCTTGCCAATCAGTGAACTCCAGGTTTACTCAGAGATTTTGTCTCAAAAAAGCAGTGGAGAGAAACTAGGAAAATACCTGTTGTCTACCTCTGACCTCTACACACACAAGCACACATGTACACACATACACACATGACCATACACACAAACACTAATACAGACACATACATATGTACACACACACACACACACACACATACACGGAAGACATATAGGTGGCATATGCCTTTAAACTGAGCCCTGAGGAGATACAGGCAGACAGGTCTATATAGCAAGTTCCTGGCCAGCCAGTGAGGCACCGTGAGACCCTGCCTCAGAACAAAACAAATAAAAACAAAGACGATGACCAACAAACCCAAGTAAGCAAAGAAACCCATTCTGGCACTGACCTAGCTTTCAGCTCTCCAAACTCCTTGCCACATGGTGCTCACGATGACATCATTTTACTCATTAAAAGGGTTTATTAATTTTCTTAAAGTTAGTACATGCTTACAGGAAAAAAAAAACCACAAGTAATATAGAAAAGTCTAAAAGTAAAATAAAAAATTTCTATCACCAGCAAATAACCATAATTAGCATTTTCCCCAAATGCCCCCTTTTGCATATGTATGTATGTATGTATGTATGTGTATATGTGTGTATATATATGTATACATACATATATTAAAAGCTCATATAGAGTCTTGATATGACTCTGAGTAAAGGTGTCTGCCTCCAAGCATGATGGACGACCCAAGTTCAATCCCTGGGACCTATGGTAGGGGAGAACGGACTCCTGCAAATTGTCCTCTGATCTTCACATATGTACTATACCATTCATGCCTGGACATACCAAATAAGTAAGTAAAAAGTTTATGTAATATAATACATACTAAATTTATTAATGTTTAAGGTCATTTGTGTGGATGCATGTGACATGACTTGTGTGTGGAGGTCAGAGGACAACCTTCAGGATTAACTATCTCTTTCTACTGTGTGGGTCTCCGGGATCAGGATTGTAGGTAGGAGATAGGCATCTTTATCCACTAAGCCATCTGTCTCATCAGCCCATATTGTTACTAAATTTAGGGAAGAAAATGAATTGGAAACACAACGAAGGCGTTGCCAAACTTTAGTTAAATGTTCTTTGGCAAGAACATATTAGTCCCTATAGATTTCTTTAAAGTGTTGCACAAAGATTATGACAAAGCATTAGGGTTAAAGGTCTGCCTTCACAATTAGCTCTTTAAAAGTCAAGACAGCACCTGCCCTTAATCCTAACACTTGGGAAGCGAAGGCAGGCAGATGCTTGTGAGTTCCAGGCTAACCAGGGTATAGAGAGAGACTGAGAGATGTGGGGATTAAAAAGCTGAGGGAAGGATAAAAAGTAGAAGATAGCTTGGGGCGGGGAGGATATGTATTTCCCAGAAAATGGCCGTATGTAGTCCTGTATAGTGCAAAACATCATTGTAAGTAACCAAGACAAGAATAGAGGCAGCTTTTATTTAAATACTAGAACTGCTTCATGGTCAGAAGTAAAATACAATATTTGTGTGTCTTTATTAATTGTAAGCGGTTTCAGAGGACCCTGGATTTAATGCTTTACCCCTTTTTCTGCTGTGTACAGGGAAGGTTCTCATTAGAATACAAGCTCTGAGAACAGACTGCCTGGATTTGATACCTATGCTTAGGATGCTTAGGAATACTCAATCAAGCCCCCAGTTTCTGTCCCGAAAAAGACAAAAAAGTCATTGAGAAGAATATGCCGGCACTGATGGCATAAAGGGCATAAATTCTTAATCCCGGCACATAGGCAGAGGCAGGCAGGTTTCAGTGAAATCAGGGACAGCTAGGGCTACACTGAGAAACTGTTCAGAAACCAGGGCGGGAAGGGAAGAGGAATATGCAGGGCAATATATCAACATATAGAAAGTTCCTTTGAACTTCAATACATGTAAGTTATTATTATTATTATTATTATAGAGGAATAAGTACTTGTGTGGAGACCAGAGAACACCCCGGGGAGTCAGTTCTTTCCACATGGTCCTTGGGGTGGGACTCAGGTTGACCGGCTTCCAGGTACAGAGTCTACCCACCAAGCTACCTTGCCAGTCCTAGACATCAATCCTAAGCTAAGCAGTTCATCTGATTTGCATATGGTATTTTGGTTAATTAGTTACTTAAGGGCTTAGGATATAACACAGTAACAGAATACCTGCTTATCATGTGTGGGGCCCTGAACTCAATCCCTGGCACTAAATAAAACCAAACCCTCTTATTTATACTGAAAAGGTGGCCCATGCTGGATTCAGACTCTCCCAACTCAACTGCTTCCATTCCTAGAGTTCTGTGATTATAGGTGCTTAGTACCACACCTGGCTGGCAACCTGATTTTGGGTCTGTGTGTACATGCTCCTGTGTGTGTGTGCGTGCGTATGTGTGTGCGTATGTATGCACAAGTGTGAAGGCCAGAGGTCGATGTCAGATAGTTCCCTCAATTCCCCTCTCTTCACTTTTGAGACAGGCTCTCTCACTGAATCTAAATATTGCAGATTTGGCCGGTCATTGAGTCCCAGATATCCCCACGTTTCAGTGGGCCAGTGCAGGGCTTACGGGGTTGGGGAGTCAAACTTGGGTCTACACTTTAGTGACTGGGCCATCTCCCCAGCCTCTGCAATTGTGTATTTTTAAATGGTAGTTTAGTTTGTCCATAAATGAAGGCAATATGGGTAAGGTGGACTCATCTAACTGTACTTTAACCCTGCTGTTTTCCTGGGTTAGATTTTTTTTTTTTTTAAATTGCCTCTAAATACTAGGGACAATCAACATGGGTGAATTATACTATATGTGAACAGGTTAAAATTAATTTATAAACCGTTCTGAAACCATACACTATATTCATCTGTCTTCTTGCCGGAGTGGCTCACAGAACACAAACACAGCAAAATGTTGACCTAATGATACTATCACTTCAATTTGCAGCGCCTCTACCTCAACAGTCTTCTAACAGTGTCACACCTTTGACAAAACCAAATTCAGTAAAATGATCTCTAAAGAGACCGTCTAAATTCTTTGGCTGTATTGAAATGTGTCCTTTACCATTTCATTTACATACCAGATATTAACATGCCCAAATCTTCTTTTAAACTCTGCCCTCGAGTTTGGAAATTGTCTTCTGCACAAAGCCTTTGTTGTATTTTTTTTTTTTAAGGGGATGTGTGCACGTGTGTGTTTTTTTGTAACAGGATTTGACCTGTAACTATCACTGAGAATTTTCTTAGAGGAGTTCAAAGCATTTTACAGGGATCATCTCATTTATCCTTCGAAAGTAAAGCAGAGGCATTTATCTCCGCTACAGACTGAGAACACTAAAAGGCCAAGGTAGGTGGGGTTTTTGTTGTTGTTTTGTTAAGATCAAAAAGTAATTCTAGGGCAAAGCCAGATTCGGGTTTGACCTTGTTACATGATGCTTCTGCGGCCTTGGAGCCCACGAAGGGCCTTCCTTGCTCTCTCCTTGGCTATGCTAGGCTTTGAATGATTTTCAGAATTAATGTCTCATCCATTCCTGCTCTTTGGGATGGCTGTTAAGATGTCAGCACAAAAGAAAATTCTCCAATCATTCTTTTATGGATGTTTGGGTTGTTTTCAAAACTGAGTCTTGCTATGGACCCTTGCCTGGCGTGGGATTTACTGTGGAGTCAGGCCAGCCTTAATATTGTGGTGATTTCACTGCCTCCCAAAGTGCTGGCATTACAGGTGCATACCACCACACCTTATCTCTTACACAGATTTCAGGAAGAGAGACACTTATCTTCCTTTGCTTATTCTTATTTATTTATTTATTTATTTATTTATTTATTTATTTTCCGGAATGTAGCTGGCTGGCCCAAGCTCACAGAGATCTGCCTGCCTCTGGCTCTGCAGCGCTGGGAATATAAGCATACCCCACCAAGGCTGGTTGAGAAATAACTTGAACCACACATATAAGTCACGCATATAAATTTGAGTACTCTAACAACTACACCAAATATCCCGAATTCATTCCAATATGTCCATGTCATTAACAATTAATTTGTGATATAGAATTACGTAAAATATTTCATTCCTTTTCTTGTCTAGCTTTTCAAAACCAGCTGTGTATTTGGCTTGTGCTTGTAGCAGGCTTGAATCTGGAGAAAAGTACCTTCCACATTCAGGCACCACATGAGATTAAAGTGAACCAGCACAAACCATGCTGGACTGCTTAGCGCCACACTTTTAAGATTGGTTCAGGTGAATCCAGTGGTGGTACGGGAAATGGATTCGATGTAATCTTGGACAATCAACTCGACATATGTAATGACTCCTGAAGAGGCCAGACCAGCCATGTTCTGATGCTCTGCTTGGTTTGGGGGGTAACCGACTCAGCATCTAGTCCGTTGTTTTTACCTCCCTAGATACGGTCTAACTATACTGGTACATGACAGGGTCTTGGTTCATATCCTTTATGAGACCAAGTACAACGGGGCTTCCCAAGTTGTGGGTTGCAGTTTTTATAAGAATCTGGTTTGTGGCTTGTGGAAAGAAGGCATCACCTGGGAAGAGGCACACTGCCAGAACCGGAAGGCCAAGCAAGTGGGTGCCTCTTGAGGGCAGAGGTTCTACCTTGATGGTTCCTGAAGCCACAGGCTCCTCCTGTGGTCTAGGGTGGGGACTTCCTGCGAACTCTTCAACAACCTTTCTCCATTTTTAAAAAATTTGAACAGGATCTTTCCTGTGGGCCTTGAACTCATGGCCATCCTTCCGCCGGAGTCTCACACGGGGTTTACAGACCAAGCATGGTTTCTCGTTGGAGTCTCGAAGACACGGTGCTGCAGAAGATGGGAGAGTCTGCACCCAAGTTGGGGTTGGCACCCCGAAGTGCAGGCGTGAGGGGCGGGCCCGTCCTGGGCCCGCGCCGCCCCATGTGACCCGGTCCGATATGGTGTCGCCTCCTCTCGAGGAGGCGGCGGCGTCTTCGGCTCCGCTGCGCGTCGGGCCGGCCCTGCGGCCGCTCATGGGCAGCCAGGGCCGCTCGGGTTCCCCCGGGAACCGCGGGCCCAGGGAAGGCGAGGGCGGGGAGGCGAGGAAGCTGCAGGAGGCGAGGGTCGCGCGGGGGAAGCGAGGGAAGGGGAGAGCGGGCACCGGGCGCGGCGGAAGAGGAAGCGGGGCGGAAGGGAAGCCGGGCCTGCGGCCGGCGAGGACGACAGCGGGGCCGGCGGCCGAGGCGGGCCCGGGGCGGCCGGGAGAGGAGGGCGGAGGCGTGGAGGAAGGGCCGAGAAGCTCCGGGAAGCGGGATGAGGAGAGCGCAGGGCCCGGGGCCGGGCGGCGGGAGGACGGCAGCCTGGACAGAGCTCAGGGGCGTGGGTGTCAGGCGTGGGGCGGCCTCCCGGGGACCCGGACGGCCATGGCGGCGGCCGCCGGGGAGGAGGAGCCGGCGGCGGCGGCGGAGCCCGCTACCCGCCCGGCCGCGGGGCCCGCGCTCTGGCGCCTGCCCGAGGAGCTGCTGCTGCTCATCTGCTCCTACCTCGACATGCGGGCCCTCGGCCGCCTGGCCCAGGTGTGCCGCTGGCTGCGGCGCTTCACCAGCTGCGACCTGCTCTGGCGCCGGATAGCCCGGGCCTCGCTCAACTCCGGCTTCACGCGGCTCGGCACCGACCTGTAAGCGCCCGCTCGCCCGCCCGCTCCCCGCCCCGGGCCGGCCAGCGTCCTGGGAAAGGGCGGGGCGCCGAGGCCTGGTCGGCTCGGGGCCGAGCGGCACCCGGAATACCGAAGCCCACATTCACGCCCCACACCCCCAGATCCCTCCCCAGCACCCTCGGGGAGTCCCGGTGTCGCCCCTCTTCAAGATTCCCCCTCCCGAGGGAGCTTGGGGACAGCATCCCCCAGTCAACGCCCTCCCCCGTGGGCGGCTACTCACAATTAGCCATCCTAAAATACTCTCCAGTCCCAGTGAGTTGTGGCTTTTCCTAAATGGTTGAGCCTCTGGGTTCCGCAGCCCAGAACTAGGTGGGTCTGCGTCCTGTGTCAGGCCTTGGAGGACGACGCCTGCTGGTTCTAGGACCCAGGCCCACTAGGTGGTCTTTCAATGTGGTTTTTTTTTTTTTTTTTTGTGGCCTTTCATCCTGCCCGCTTTCAGACGTGGTTAGGCTTCAGGGCTCCGATAAAGTCAAATAAGCAGAAAAGGGTTCAGATCCTTTAGATCCTTAAAAAAAAAAAAAAAAAAAAAAAAAAAAAGCTTTCAGTCCCATCGTCAGCATATTTTAGGACTTGATTCAGGCAGAAGGACCCACAAAAGTTGTCCACTTGGGGCAACAAGTTGGATTTGGTGTAGGCTGTATCCAAGATACTGCAGCTTGACTTAGTCATGTCTGAGACCTGTGTATGCAAAACATTTCTGAAACACTTCGGTTGTTAAACAGGAGGGGGAGAAAGAATGTGTACACAATTGGTGAGGATAAAGGTTTTCGGATTGCAGGCTGCCCTTGCTCAATTGCATGTAATACAGGAGAATACAAAGTTTAAAACAAGACAAAACCAAACATAGAAGTCATCGTTTCTATACAACTATTTCCATTTTAAAAGTTTTTCAGTTGCACATCCCCTTAATTGCCCAACCTGCCCTTGCTCCCAACAGAAGAGTGCTTAGTGAGTAATGCAATGGGTTTCAAGGTATGTCACGTGCCAGGCCATATATTTGTCTTGAATTAGTTCCTTAGAAAAAAAGCTCAAGATAGGCATTATTGGACAGAGGTTTTGATATGCAAAGGTATCGGACCAAGTCACAGTATGCCAGCAAAGAAAGAGTGAGCCAGTTTGATGTGACATTTAAAGCCTTTGCCACCTAAGTGTGTGAGAGTATGCCAAAGTTGTGTTATTTTGTGTCTCTCATCACTGGCCAGGATAAATATTTTGCCATGTGTGTGTTTCACCTGTGAGATTGTCTCTTTCTACTCTTTGTTACTGGGGTCTTGGTGTTTTTGTTATAAATTTGGAATTTTCTGGGTCATAAATGTTTGACTCTCGTCTATCATCCTGATAGAGATATGTTTTCCAGTCAATTTTTTATTTTATTGTTTTTATTAGAGTTTTTATACTTCATTAGAATCTGCAAGTCTCGTAATTTTTCTCTCCTCCCCTCTAACCTGAGAAATTTCTAATTCTTCCACAGACCTGACAAAATTTGATTGCCAACTGATTTTTCTTATTTGATTTTCTTAAATGACATTTTCGTCAGTAACACTTGTTTTGGTTCAAGTGGAGAAATTCTCTTACTGTATTTTTCTCTGAATAGCTGCTCAGTTATTGCTGCACCTTTTGTTAAGCTTTTCTTTCACTTTATTTGGGAAGCTTACACTGCTGTGTATTAAGTGTGTGTGCACACACATATACACGTTTGTATATTCCATTTCTGTCCGAACTCACTTTTTTTCTACTGGCACATCTTTCCATTTCCATAACATTTTAAACGTTGCTCCGTGATAGAGTGAAGTGTCTGCGAGGGTTATGTTATGTTTTGCTTGCTGTGTTGAAATGTCACCCTGCTCCACTTCTACTCAGTTTATGACCAGAAACATTTTGTGCCTTCTCAGGATTCTTGTGCTCCTCACTATGAAGTTGTTTATCATTTAGTACTGATGTGTCTCCGTGTGTTTGTAGTTCATGTGTTTTGTGTTTATTGTGGAAGCACTCTTTTTCTCTACGCCTTCTAATGTAGTATTAGACTTTAAGTTTTCTCCCGTTGTCTTATTCGACTCATTCTATTCTAGTCCAGTTTGTTGCTGATGATGTTCCTTGTGATTTTAGGTGTGTGTATAGTCTTATTACCTGTGAACATGAGTATTTCCCCCTTCTCCTTTTTTAATCTTCATAACTTTTTAAGCCAAAGGGAAAAGAATCAGAATTATGTATATTTCAATCTCCAGCAATCTATAGTAAACTTGTAAACATTTTATGTGTTTTTCTTCTTTCTCTTCCTTTTATTATTGGCATATGTTTGTTGTATATGGTTCTGTATTTCAGAAATACATTTTCTTTCAGATCTGTCATGTACTCTGACAGAGTAACTTGCTGAATATTGGCCTATAATAAAAGTTGTCTAGAATGACTGGCATTCAAGCTGACCAAAGCAAAGTTTGGCTTTTGCTTACTGTGGAGAATGAATGAGTTAATGTTTATTTTTGTTTTCTTTCCTGATGTTCTAAAAGAGAGAAACTAAGAATGATAACACAATGAAAATATATTTGTAGTAAAAAGTGCTTGGGGTCTGCCAAATGATTTTATTATGTCGTTACTATTATTAGATAAGTACATTTTAATTTTATATGTGTGTGTCCCAGCATGAAGCATTGTCCTTCCAGAGAGGCTGTTTTGCTGTGGCACTTGATAAAGAGCAGGGTCTGTTTTTTGGGTTGAAAGAAGAAATTATCTGTTGTAGCAGGTGGAGTGTGACCTGTTTCTGGACAGCTGCAGAGACTTAAGCCACCAAGAGAGGTAGTTGTAATCACTGAAGGGATAAGGCATGTACCCCGATTCACTCAGAGCATCAGGGTTCCTACTCCTTAAGTGCAGAACATAGCACCCTGCATAATGTGGGCTGTTGCTGCTCCTGCTTTGGACCAATTCACTGGAGAGTGGACAAGCGTGTCTTTATGAGCACAGTACAGAACTTGACTTTCTCAGAGGGCAAATAACCACACTGCCTCTGAGCTTTATCTCCTTAAAGACCAGGAATAACACTGCTCAGTAAAATGGGGCCTAACCAGCCATGACTGTGTTCAATACTAAAGAGTCTTCCCTAAGTTGTTTGAAAAGAACTTTTTCAATTGCTTGCCTTCCTCTTCATTCTGCATATGTCAGAAGTGGACATGGTTTGACTTGGAAGTACTGCCTACTGATAGGGAACACACACAAACACACACATAACATTCAGGTTTTCTAGCCTGTCCTGAATGTTTTCACAAACATGACAGCAGAACCTGTGGGCTTAGGGACTGCACTTGCTGCTTAAGGGCCTTCTGAGTTTCAGAAACACTAACTGCTAAGGTTTACTGACCTTCTGGCCCCGGGCAGGCCCTGCTCAAGTTAGCTGTTCCTAACTGATCATAGCTTTGCTGAGTAAGATGAACTGCTTGGGTCCCTTGTCATTTGTTAATGGTCTTATTCTTGTGCTTGAAGGCATTTGAGCCACTTAAAAACCACAAACAAATAATTTGCTTCCCTTTAGGCCTCTTGCCTGGTGAATACTAAGAAGTATCCTAAGTGGGCCCCCCTACCTTTGTTGTTTTTTTAAGGAAACAAAAAAGTAGTTTGAATTAGTTATCTGATTTCAAATTAGTTTGATATGAAGGCTTTATGAATCCTAGGGAAATAGAAATATTGTGTTACAATAGTAAAAATCAGGGCAGTATTTAATACAGAGATCTTTTGAGTAAGGAATGGGATGGGCACTAACCCAGTTCAGTGTGTAAAAACAAAGCAGTAGACTCCAGCTCTGCCCATATATGATGCCTGCTATGTACATGGAGCACATTGATGGGGAGGACAGAGGCACTGTCTGTAAACTCTGCTATAGATGACTAGTGAGAGGGAAGGAAGGGGGAAATCTGCATAGAAGCCCGTTTAGACAGTGCTTGCAATGTCTATGTTCAAGAAAGCTTCCTTGCCCCCTTCTTTATTTTAGTGTTCCATGTTTTCAAGTGGGAATTCCTTTTAAATATCCTATGGACAGTTACTTGGGTGCTCTCACATCAGCCTGAGATCGATTTGCCTGGAATTAACAATAGGGGCTCCAGGAGTAGAGCGTCTGAGGTGTTTGCCCTGGCATGCAGGCTCATTCCTTTGCTGGTCCTGCAGCCTTGGAGCTCTTTGAGGCTGGAGGACGAGGGTATCTATTTCAGTGATGATTAACATCCAGAGTGGTGAGATAGACACAGATAACAGAGTGTGCTTGTTTGTTTTAAAATGATTGCACCTAAGAGCCCCCACCCCCAGGAAAAAAAGAAAAAAAAAAAAAAAAAAAGCGTGGCTGCTTCTTCCCTAACTGAATGGAGAGGGCGTTGCTGACTGGTCTCTTTAAGGCCTAAACTGATTTTTCAGGAAACAATTAGCAACTCTAAAGTATCTTAGGCTTTTTTCTTATTCTTTCTGCCTTACCTGGGAGGAGTCACCCCTCCTTAGCCGCTCAGAGGTTTCCTGTAGGGATATGTTAGCTTAGTTGTTTTTGAAAGGCCTTTTTTTTTTTTTTTTTTTTTTTTTTTTTTTAGTTATTTTATTTTAAAATACGGTGTGTGTGGGTGTGTGCACATGAATGGGGTGCCAGGGGAGGTCAGAGACATTGGATCCATGGTGCTGAGTCTGAACTCAGGTCACCTGCAAGAGCTATATGTGCTCTTAACCACTGAGCCATCTCTCCAGCCCCAGGCCTATCTTTTTTTTTTTTTTTTTTTTTTTTTTTAATGGTTTCTGAGTTAATAAAAGGAGGGTTCAGTTTACATGTTCACAGTAAATACACCTGCAGAAGCAGGAAATGGTCAGATGCAGACTGGAAGAAGAGAGAGCCTCCTCTAAGGCTGCTGGGGTGAAGTAGTTCCTGCCTTTCCTAGTCACCCAGCCTTTTGCACCATAGGGGTGGCTTGTCTGGCGTTTAAAGCAGAGTCATA